TACTATCTAATATGCCGGACCGTACCTCGCCTACTCCACTAACGAGTCTAGGGAGTCGCCTACGCCTAACCCTATAACCTTAACCCTAACCGGTTACCCTAACCATATCAGATAGTTACCAGGGTACGTACCAGGGTACGTTCCGGCAGTACCCTGGGGGAAATAGACGCTATGAGCGTTAGTTATAATTAGTTAAATCCTCCCCGCGCCTATATGGCGCATAGGGCGGTGCCTGCCTATCTCCGTTTCAGTAACCCTGAGGCTCCGCAGCTGCTTTCACAGTAAATGCTACAGTAGGGGGTTAGTCCACTGTAGCACTGCGAGTTAACTTGCCACACTCTATCTCTCTTTGCTGAATGCTAAGCAGAGAGCTTTTATAGTTGCTTTTATCGCTTTTTAGAGCTTTTATCTTTAGTTATAGGTGGTACATAAATCAAGCATAATTCAATCTCGTACCTCAACCCTAACGGCCTAACTCTAACTTTAAATTTAACAGAATCTCATAGCCAAGCCTGACCGAGTAGCTAGCATAATCCCAACCTAATCTTTAAACGCTGCATTAAATTCCCGGTTGCTAGAGTAGCTGGGGTTGAACGCATATCATCTCACTGTTGAAGTAATGGGAATGAGACGAGGCTATATATATCTTCGAGGCATTAACAAACTGACATTCTATCGTCAGATGTTTACACGTTCTATCTCTCACACACTCAACCACTATGTGGAGCCGCTGACTGTTTGCTGTATGTTGTATAGATGCCGCTGTTTCATGACATCAGTGAAGGCGCGTTGAAACGAGGCGATCACATCTACGTGTGGCGTATATACTACCATCACGATGGTATCTGGGACGGCAGAAAAGTCATCCACTTCGCTGGAGTAAAACCTGGCGACAAATCCAACGCGACAATACGCAGAACTACCCTCGACGTATTCCTAAATGGTGGCAATCTTAAGATCTACCTTTACGGTGTGAGCTGGTTGAATACATGGTACGAGTGGCTTAGCACGTCTACATTGCAGGAGAGCGACTCGCCGGATACCGTGATGAAGCGAGCGGAGAGCCGGATCGGAGATCATGGTTACAACCTGGTTCGTAACAACTGCGAACATTTCGCGGTCTGGTGCAAGGTGGGAAAACGCACCAATAAAGTGTTGAAGCAAATACAATATACAATCGATTATATAAGGTAAATGTGTAGGGTTTTTATAACGTTTTCTAAACGTTTGTAAAAACGTTTTTATTGTATTTGTAAACGTTAAACGTTAACGTGATCAGGTTACGGTCATTGTGACGTCATCATCAACGTCAGCAGGTAATCGCGCATTCGCGCCGGCAAGCGGACTGCCGCGTATTCTTCTATCATCGCTAGCAACTTGACCACTAAACTATAACAATATATATATCCGTATATAGTTCAGTGAACTTGACACACATTTATCAGTATTAGTAACTACAGTGACAGTCCGTTTACCTATAGGTGGCATACATTAATAATCATGCGCAAATTGTTCACCGCGTTGCACTTTTGTCTAGAAAAAAGGCTTTCCTTTGAATTTTCGGTAAAATTAGGAACTAGAGTGCAATACTTTGCATGATGGCAGCAAGGTAGAAGCCCCGTGCACGTCTAGAAAGCATTAAGTTAGATTAGTTTTGTGGTGTAATATTCCTGCGGTCGCGTCAAGTGGTGTAGCCATAGTGGCGGTTGACCATTTTGTATTTGAAAATTCTTAAAATCAATGTGGCAAATGTTTCAAGTGAAGATCGGTGTTTGAATCTGTAGTGATTTAACGTGAATAAAGTGTACGTCGCGTATGAGACGAAACTCTCTCTAAGTATTTTTAATTGATTCTGTTCGATGCTTATTCAGGCTTGCTGCCTATGTACGCCCTCTACTGTTGCACAACACCTATATCACGTGCACACATTATTGCCTAAACACACTGCAGCGACAACGACCAATTGTAACGTTCAGCGTCAAAGCTACAACGACTGACCCCAGTCACACTGCAGGCGTTAGTGACTGACCCCAGCCACACTGCAGGCGTTAACGACTGTCCCCAGCTACACTGCATGCGTTAACGACTGACCCCAGCCACACTGCAGGCGTGAACGATTGACCCAGCCACACTGCTGGCGTTAACGACTGACCCCAGCTACACTGCATGCGTTAACGACTGACCCCAGCCACACTGCAGGCGTTAACGACTGACCCCAGCTACACTGCAGGCGTTAACGACTGACCCCAGCTACACTCCAGGCGTTAACGACTGACCCGCAGCCACACT